TCTACCTACTAGCAGGAGCACTTCAGGCTTTTAACAAAACTCTAACAAGTTTTTTCAGCCTTCTAAAACCAGTGAAGGGGCACACGCAATATATTTCACTACTGCAAGTTGTTAGCAGTTAATAGTGTTTCTGGTTAAAAAAAATACATACGTGCTTTTTGCACCTAAAGGATAAAATCATTTTTCAAAATTGATTTTTAAAAGATGTGGGACAGAGTCAAGGAGGCATACCCAGCTTTTGGCACAAATCTCGTGCGTAGGTTTTGTCAAGGCCATTGTCACAATACATCTTGAATTCGCACCCGCTTGGCTGGCTGAGTCTAGAGGAGAAACTCCCTTGCACGCTGGGCCTTTGACCTCAAGACCCAGAAAATTTGTGACAAGAGCTGTGATTAGTTCTGGCAGAAGCTAATGCATCGCCCACCAAAAGAGTGAGCGTGAGCAAAAGAGCAGATCAGAGCCCAGCAGCAGCAAGAGCAGCTGGAAGGGGACCAGGCATCAGTCGCTTCACACCGACCTTGCCTCCTGCTGCTCCTCCTCAGAGGCACTAGCCCTACTTCTGTTAATGATAAACCTTGGCAAACTAGCCTCACAGCTTCACGCCAAGGGTAACTAATATCTTTTTAGTTCATCCTTATCTTCCTTTTCCATTGCCCAAGGCAGTTTATTTTTTTTAGTGACAAAGAAGCCTATGTATGTTCTTGTTAATAAGTATTCACAAGGGCATGAATTTTCTAACTTTCATTATGAGTTTTTTTCATGCTTCTATGTAACAAAGTGCCCTTTTTTTTTCCCCCAGAAAAGACTCTGTTTCCCCAGTTTGAAATAAAAGATTTCATGAAGCTGCCACGTCAGCATTGCTCATGAGTTACATATACTTCCAGTATATTTTATGGTCCTTTTTTGAAAAAGTTGGAGCATACTTACAAAATTCCTCAAACATTACTGAAATGTACTAAGTGAGAGGAAAAAAAATCTTTCTCATGACAGGGACATTACCATCTCCAGTAAGGGCATCTAAAAATGTGGGAAGCTTAATACTATCAGATTGGAACTTCAGAAATACCACACTCTGTAACAAGTGTTTGATGGGGCGATAATCACTGAATAGCCAGTGCTACAGGTTGTATATGTCCTCAGGAAAAAAAAAAAAAAACAATATGGCAGCAGCATAATGAGGTAATATGAGAAAAATCCAAAGTAAAATGAGATTTTTCCCTGGTTTATAAACTTTATTGGCACACCAGTGTCAATCTATATACAGCATACCCAGAACACAGATAAAAAGATCTATCTGTGAGCTGAGCTACATCCTTTCCAGATGATCTTTACTAATTTAGAAATCTCTTTTTTCTCCATCCATTACTTTGGATTATCTGCATGAGAACAGCTGCCTGTTAAAGCAAAAATTACTTTTTTTTTTTAACAAGGGAAATGGCCTTTTCCACACGGGAACATTTCTTAATGAAGTGAAAAGCAAACAAGCTACTCTCTGTTGTGCAAAAAACTGTGTGTTCAACACAGGGACATGAAGCTGAACGTCAACAGTTACAGCTGGCTGCATCATTACGTCTCAGACTGAATGCCACCCACATAGTCACCAGTGCTTGGTGTCACACTAGCAGGAAGGGAAGGTACTGCGGAGGTCTAAGAAAAACCAAAAGAAAGAAGTTAATGAAGCTGTTGCCATCTGGAACCTCATCTAGTCTGCGCCATCCTGAAAGAGGCAGCCTGAAGGGGTCTGTCCTTTCAAGATAGGCTGGGTGAAGGAGGGGCAGCAATGTCAATGTCACCCAGGGAGGGTGTTGTTGGGAACGGTATTAGAAAGAAAGGAAAAGAAAATGCAGAGAGAGGGAGTGAACGGAAATGTAAGAGTTGAAC